ACCAACTTAGCTACTAATATTCTCCATAGATTAAGTAAAAAATAATGAAACATTAAAAACCGTATAAAGTACATAAATCGTATACATTTAGAAGTTTTCCCAATTACAAAAATCTTGAATTTTTCATTGCTTTCGGATTCATTCTTTGGTTGTTTGATGTTGCAAATGATATGTGTCACTTAAATGGGAGGGATATGTCCGTATTCGAGAGGGGATATCCCTCCAGACATCTATTGGGAGGGAACCTCCTTTCAGAGTGTGTTCATCGTTTCCAATGCGGTTAATTGCTATTAGGCTTTTTAGGAAAGTTCCCTTTGCCTATGCATTTAGAATTGGGTCAATCACGTTTATTAGAAGTCGACAATAGAGTGGTTCTACCAGCAAAGAGTCATACACATTTTATTGTAACATCTGTTGATGTACCTCATAGTTGGGTTGTACCTTCCTTAAGAGTCAAATGTGATGTTATACTCAGACCTCTATTTCGGTACAATGAGAAGGAGTTTACTATGGTCAGTGTAGTGAGATTCGTGGAACTGCCATCTTAGTCGACGAGAGCCATCATATAATCGATTGTCCTGTCAGGTCTAATCAGCTAACCTTACCCCGTAAGGCTTGATATTGTAGCCCTTTTGAACGGTTTCATTCTATTGTATAGGGATGTATTTGGGAGGAAACTTTGTAACTTTTTTTAAAATGGTAGGAAATTTTAGAGATTATGATATCAAGAGTCGTGTATTTATGTAATTTTTCCAAAAATGTATTAAAAGATTTGTCTTAGGATTGAAGGTTAAGGAAATGACTTACAACCCTAAATGAGTTATAGCATCTTGAGTAGTAACTAATAAATTACAAGGTATAATTAGATATTTGTCCTCGTATATAATTTAGATCGTTTGGTTGGGAACAAGTTATCTCAGGATTAATTATTTTGGGACCATGCATATGGGATAACTTATTCCATCACTATGGTATACATGGTGGGATAAGTAATTCTAAGACTATCTAATTTCTCCAACCAAACATAGGATAAAATAGTGTTGTACTTTATACCTGAAATTATTATACCTAATACATTATACCTCATACCGAACGACTCTTAAAGTTTTCTTAATATTAGTAGACTTGTTCTTAAGTCCCATCTTGATTAATTTCTTCTCACTTGTGTCATCCAATTTTTTTGGCTTTGCTTAACTTTTTACATTACTAGTTTAAAATATGGGGATGAATCTCTATTCTTGTCATCTTTCATGTTGTATTAATTTATCACCTTTTAAATAGTAAAAATACCTAAAGATTTTTTGTCAAAATCTTACGGATGTACGTGTTCTAAGTTATACGAGCGAGTCTCACATGATTTTTAAGAAAAAAGATACTCAAAATCGATTACACCGTAGTATTATCAAAAAGAAATCGAGATGATAAGACAATTTCAAAAAAATTAATTTTAATTATACAAGCTAAAATAATCAATATGACATAAATTTTATAAAATAACTGATTGAACCATACTATTGACACCCTTAATTTGTGGGATAGAAGAAACCATATAGTGCTTTTTTATATAAACTAGCTTAACAAAAAGGAAACTTGACAAAACACTTTAAGCCCATATAATATATGCATTCATAAGTCATAACAGAGTAACATTAGAGTTTACAATCACTCAGCAACCACCACCTCCGCCACCGCTACCGCCACAGCCACCACCTCCACCACCGCCACCGCCACCACCTCCACAAGCACCACCAGCACCACTAGCATACATGATGACACCACCAGTAGCACCAAAATTAGCACCAATAGACTTAGACTTGATTTTCTTTTTCTTCTTAGATACTTTGTCATTTTCAGGATGATCAGTACATGAAAATACTACTATTGACACCACTAAAACAGAGAAAATGATAACATAGAGCAAGAACAAGACTTCATAGTAACTAATCATAGCACTAGCTTTACTAGAATTGTTATCAACATTCAAAGAAGAAACCAAGAACCTAACCATTATATTATTTATACTTTCTCCTATAGAACATGAATGCATTTATAGAGGACTCATAACTCATTTCCTACCTAGAGTACAATAATTACTCCATCCGTTTTAATTTGCTTGTCTTATTGTCCTTTTTAGTCTATTTAAAAGAATGTCTCTTTCCTTTTGGGCAATAGTTTAATTCCAACATTTCACGTGATATGCTTAAGATTACAAGATTAATGAACATGTAGGTATATTATGTTAGGGTTTTGCCCTGATTTTTTTACTTTATTTGAAGTTTATTTTTTTCTTAAGGAAAAGTCAAAGTATTACCATAAATGTTTAAATTTTTTCTGAAAGGAAAATATAATTTTCTTTCATATTTGGTTTATTCTTTCCTTAGAGAAAAAGTTTGGAGATTTATAAATTAAAGATCCCGATTCTCATAACATAACACAATATTATCCACAATGTAGTCGTTTAGAGACTTTTGTTTATGGGGAGATTTTCTCTCTACAATTTTAATGTTTTTTATTAGTTTTTAATATGTAGGCTAATTGGCCAAATTCTATATAATAATATTTTGATTTTTAGTATAAACTTTTGTTATTTGATTTATCAATTCTATAATTTGCAATTATAAGCTTCCGCATGATGTCTTAATCACTTTCGAACCCAACACATTACACATCTTTAGTTTAAAATTATAAGATTCAAAAGTCTCTTTATTTTATTCTGTGTCGAGTCAAACTAGGCATTCGTCCATGTTTCATTGTGAAATTTAAAATAAAGAAAGTATTTTTTGCTTTCAAAGTGAAAAATGATATTCGAAAATTGGAGTTATGTTTAGCCAGGTATACTAAGACAAACAATTTGAAACGAATGAAGTATATTAGAACTGTTGGTTAGGATCATGTCACAACTTTACTATTTTTTCTAATTTTCACAGGACTATTTTTATTTTTAAAGTAATAATTTCCCTCATTAGAAATATTATTACTTTTAGAAAATAAGCAATTTACATGATCCTAATATTGTTATTGACCAACTCTTCTAGTATTCTCTGACCATTAATTTTCTAAAAGAATTCATTGTCTTCATAACTCTACTGGCCATCAAGATTGTCAGGGATCTCAAGAATAGAAATTGCTAAGAACTAGACGAAATTTTTTGGAGCTTTCGGTTAGAGGTGGAGTCAGAAATTGTAGTTTATGAGTTTCAGATCACAATTTCTTGGCTCATTCTTTAATAGGAACATGATCAGAGCCCTGGCTCCTCAAACTGCTTGGGAGCTTACGGTTTCATGTTCTATTTCACTCCTCGATGGGGTTCTCTTCACCCTTCCCTCACAGTACTACTTCTTTATCGGTCATCTAGGAATATTTAGTCTTGCAAGGCGAACCTTGCTGATTCAAATGGGATTCCATGTGCCCCATGCTACTCAGGTCATTATTAAGTTTTGAAAAAGGAAACAAATACTTGTACATATGTGATGAAAGAAGAATATCTTATATGTGATGGAAGGGTCTAGACTACCTTACATGTATTGAGACAATCCTCCCTCTCGAACTAACTTTTAAGATTGAGCTACGTTGAATGCCCATTTAAAATGGTATCAGAGTAAGACCTCCGAAGTGCACTCAGATAGATTGTCCATTTAAAGCGGTATCAAAGTCCGAGTTTGATAGTCCTCCTGCGAGTTTTTGGCCAAAAGCATCCCTAAACTATACCTTCAACTTAAACTACATCCTTAAATTATCCTTCTTAACATAAAACATCCCCCAAGTAGTTAAAACTTAACCACTTTCATCATTTTGTTAAATTTTTTGTCAAATTATTAATGGATTTTACACAAAAACATGTGCAGGTCACACATTGCAAAGAGACATGATATGCTCTTCTTTTCCTTTACCAACTTAACAAAGATGGAGCTTAATTTCACGTTATCTTCACCTTCTGTAAAGTCAAAATGTAATTAGATCAACAATTTTTTGGGGCAATTTGATATTTGAAGTGATCAAGATTCTGAATTTCATATATGGCACTTGAGTTTTTTTCTCCATTATTGGAAGTAAAAGTCTCAGAACGCCATCATTTCTTGCAGATTCAATGAGAAAAAAAATATTTCAACTAGAAATTTTTTAATATCAAATCAAATAAAAAATAAATTAAAGCAAAGTTGCTAATAAAAGGATCTACATAATGCCAAGTGTTGTTGTCAAAAAGAATTCACAATAATATTTTAGATGTATCACAAAATGAAGAGATTTTTTTAATCTTTGGTGATTTAGGGAGTTTTGTTGCGAGTAGTATGAATTACACATATTTATTTTGTTATTTTTTTGTCAAATTTTAACAAAAGGATGGAAGTTGTTAAGTTTAAAATACTTGAAGGATGTTTTTTGTTAAAAAGTAATTTAAGGATATAATTTAAGTTAGGGGTATAGTTTAAGGATATATTTGGCCAAAAACACTCGTCATCCTGCATTGGAATTTTATGCAATATGAGTTGATTTCTCTTATGGTCACTCAATTAATATTTATGACCTTGAAAGTGATTTTATGAGATAATTAACTATTAGTTGAGTGATCACGTGAGAAATCAATCAAATGAAATATTACATAGATTTTCCATGATGTAGTAGATTGTACAAGTATTCTGGAATCTGGACTACTTTGGACTATTTTTTCCCCTTGAACCAAGGGTCTATCAAAAAGTCTCTCTATCTCTGAGGTAGACTCTATCGTCTCCAGACTCCACTTTGTGAGACTATACTAGATATGTCGTTGTTATTGTTGAGTAAATTGTACAAGTAATGATCAATCAGAAAACATGGAATGTATACATAATAAAAACCAGAAAGCTTTTTTATTATGAATCAAATCATATATAAGGGGACTTCCAAGTTTACTCTTATAAACACCTGTACAAAGACTTTTATTCCATGGTGTAAATAACAGAATATGAACTTGGGCACAAAACTTACATTTATAAACCCATCATAAACTGGAAAATGGAAGTGTAAAATCAGACAAAAACTGAATATTTTCAATCATCTTGCAACCAGTTGTATTGATAGGTCTTCTATTGAGCTTCTGGTATAGGTGTCAATGTCATCATTTCCTGGTAGATTCAAGATAAATTTTAGAAAACAGAGAAAAGGTTGCGCATAAATATAGCAGACAATCAGCCAAGCCACTCCCAAAGTCAACGAGTTTGGGGGTTGGTCTTGGAAAGAGAAGTGCACAAACTTGAACACTGTACAACAACAAGAAACCTAGTGTAATCCTACAGGCGGGGTCTGGGAGGGTAGAGCATACATAAACCTTACCTCTACCTTGAGAAGGTAGAGAGGTTGTTTCCGATAGACCCTCGGTTGAAGGAGCGATAAAAAAAAGAGGCAGCAGAAACAACAGCAAGAAAATAAGATGTCTCTCACAAACTTGAACACTGTACAACAACAAGAAACCTAGTGTAATCCTACAGGCGGGGCCTGGGAGGGTAGAGCATACATAAACCTTACCTCTACCTTGAGAAGGTAGAGAGGTTGTTTCCGATAGACCCTCGGTTGAAGGAGCGATAAAAAAAAGAGGCAGCAGAAACAACAGCAAGAAAATAAGATGTCTCTCACAAACTTGAACACGGTGTGAGAGGGAATTTACCTCAGTATATCGCAAATGCTGTTGATGTTCCTTTGTTGTTTTAACAATTGTTTCCCACTTGGGATCACTAGATAGTGGCTTACAAGATTGGTTGTTAGGACTTATTCCTGTCCCAACATATGATCTTGAAGATGGATTTTTCGTGGACAGTGAAGGCAAAGTACGGCAAAGCCATGAATCTGATGGAGATTTTGGTAAAGGAGGGGGAGCAGGAAGCTTTGAATGTGCTACGCGTGAGTTCTGTAACTTTTCTTTTCGTACTGTTTGCTTTCTGGTACTTCGTTTAACATCATCTTTGGGTTTCACTGAGGCGACTGCATCCTGGTAATGGTCTTGAGCTTGTTCAGAAGCTGTCAGTGCCATCATTTCCCCTCCATTGTTCAATTTTTCCGCTGATGATGGTGGAAAATAACTAAGTGAAGAATCCACTGAGGGCTTTTGTTCTGCCATCTTTTTAAGAATATCTTGATTCTCATCCTGTAAGTTAAATGGTCTCTCCGCTTTAGGAGGTGATTTCATAATTGGAGATTCCACCTTATGTACAATATCTACATGCAGAGTTTTCTCTGCCAGAGGAGCTGTTAAATCCGCTTCACCTGCAATGTTCTGATACTCAAATAATTCTTGAAAGCAATCATTTGTGTCCTCATGTGCATGAACTGTGACAAATCCAGCCACTGACTCAGATTTGGACTGCTGCAATAAGTTAAAACCATAAGTGATAAAGAAAATGTGGGAGAGGAAGTTAGCACAACATAAGTGGCTGCAGTAGAGCAACAAAAGTGACGGGAAGAAAGACGGTGGAAATTGATACCTCATTCTCGGATCCACTGCAAGAAGCGGTAGATGATGATCCAGTCTGTGTTCTACTGGCAGGAGACATGGGTACTCTGGTTCTAGCACTCATTCCAGGTACAGGATTCATAAGACAAAACGAACTTTTCAAGCAAAAACGAGGCAATAATCCACAAACTTTAGTAGGTAGATTTCCATCATAACAACTATCATCATCACTTTCTTCTTCATAATTATCATGGAATTGGGAATAACGAAGTGCAAAACTAGGTCCATAACGCAGCTGAGGCCTCTTATCCCCATTTACTACCTTCTTGGGTTGTCTTGGTTGCTCCTGAACAGCTGGCTGCTTCCTGGGAGCATAGTGAGGCATTTCTAAGGACTTTTCTGAAGCCATGGCCTTGGCTGCTGGCAGAAACCGATCAATCATGAAATCTCTAGCTTGTGGATCTCTTAAAGAAGTACCAGAAGGTTTTGCTTCTGGTTCGTCTAATCCACTTAAGCCGCTTACACTACAATTCACGAAGAATGATTCAGTTCTTGAAAGCGTATTGGGGGCATCCATATATACT